GATAATTCGAAAAGTACTGGTTATTGTTTGATGCCTTGCGGCTTACGGTAATCTCATAATGTTCACATACTCCTATTTATTTCGTCGAAATTGGAAGAGGGCGTATCTTATTACGTACGGAAAGGTGAATATGGAAATACCGGGTGCTCAGAGCGAATGTATTAAAATAATTTTTACACTTTTAAATTTTTTTTTTTGTAAAAATTATTTTAGTACATTTGCTCCGAGCACCCGGTATTTCCATATTTACCTTTTCGTACGTAAAAAGATACGCCCTCTTTCAATTTCGACGAAATAAATAGGAGTATGTGAACATTATGAGATTACCTAAGCCGCATAGGCATCAAACAATAACCAGTACTTTTCGAATTATCTTAAAAACAAATGATTCAATCGAAATTTTACAGGAAACAAAAAATACTGAAAAATGATTGAACACTTGAAGGAAAATAGATAGGAAGTCATTAGCGCACGTACAAACAAAATATGGGGGTAAGTGTGAACTTGACCCCCAGTATTTTGAATATTTGACAGTTATTTTCTGTTTTGTCTTCCTCACACGATGTAACTCTTTGTGCTGAAGTAATGTACCAATTTTGAGATTAATATCTTATCAAATACGCGAGTAATTAAAAAAAAACAGTTTTTAATTTCCAACTTTGACACCCTGTATACCGAATATGAAGGGCTAAAATGAAAAATGATATTTAGAAACTCATATTGTTTTTGTTCAAGGAATATGTGGTTAATGGATTGACCTCCTTTTAGCGGACACCCTACAACAAAATAAATCTAAAGAAATAAAAGTAGTTACTAGTATTCAATGATTTCCATTGAATTTTAAGCAAGTTTTGGATAACATTAAATCTAAGAGGGTGTAAATGGTCTATCAATTTCAAAGTATAAAATGTTTTTTGCACGCTTGGTAGAAAAAGCCTCCATTTTGTTCAGCATCTGATCACTTTGTTAACATTGTCTAAAATTCAATGTTTGTATATAAAAAAATCATAAACAATAAATGATAAGAAAATGATAAAGATTATAAACAAAGGGAAAAACCTGAAAACACATCCACCCTAAAACTTTACACATAAACAATCGAACGAATCACTGAGTAATAACTGTACAACTAGAGAGCTAAATACAGAGAGTCGATATGTAATGCAGACATTGAAATCTGCCTAAAAATAAAGAGTATCAAAATATAGAGAATAATCGAATCAAATTACAACACGAAATGAACCGTTTCCGTCCCACTTGTACTCACTTTCGGTTTATTGTTACATAAACGTTATGTAACTTTATGTCTACCAGTCAAGAAAAAATCTTCTCCTATAAACTAACAAATTACAGCTGTAATATCAATATTATTTTCCTTTACCAAATATTCAGTTTTCATATCAGACTTGCATCTTGCATAATTATATTACAAAAACAATGGAGGTTATAACAATAGAAATATTATTGTGAACTTAGTGTCTTCAAAATGTCTATACTACGAATTCCTGAGACCAAAATGGGACAAATGAACCAATTTAACCTCCAAACCAAAAGGATTTCAATATCAGCAATCAAAATATTTGTACCATCTTGTACATTTTTCATGCATTTGAATCCCTCCAGTGTTCTACGATATTTCAGATCAATATCTATAAAGTGAATTTGAGTTCTCAAGAAACAAATTTCACCTTCAACAGTTTAACTTTGGCCACAGAACTCCGTGGTATCATTTTGAAGACACACTGTATAACTTGGACTATGGAGAATGGAGAATATACCTCCTACAATGTGATGTTCAAACACATTCTGAGAAACAAATGAATACAGCAGTATTTTTATCTTCAAAATACCAACATACGAAAAAAAATGGTGTTCCGACTTCTACATTATATTTATGAAAAACCCGAGAGCTCAAATCGCATTTTTTAATCCTCATTGGTCACAATAAGTCACGTGATACGTCACCTAATAGGTATTTTTTGCGAGAATACTGTATAAGGGAGAACGATATTTCGTTTTATTTTTCAAATGTGGCATTGAAAAATTGTCGAAAAGTCAACTTTTTCAAATTGCATCTACTATTTTTTTGCCACTTTATGGAAGAAAATCGTATTTGACGATAAGTTACTAAAGCATTTCCTGGACCTGTCATGAATACTATAGAATTTTGTTAAACAATTGAGAAATTAATAAAAAAAACCTTCAATGTCAGACTAAAATATCAAAAATATATAATTTCGTTATTATACAACTACACTATCTGTATCAAGTGGAACTCAGCCCCATATTTCTATAGAGACAAAATCCTACATGGTCCTTCGAGCCGGATCATGTAGGATTTTGCCTACATGATCCGCTTCGTTGACTTTTATTGAATATTTCGATGGAGGTTTGAGTGAGATATAGAAAATGCTCAAGTAACTCATCCTCAAATTGAATGTCCTTGAGTTTTTTGCAATTTTTCAATAGGACATTTGAAAATTGCCCGCGCCCACATAGACAAAAATGGGACCATCGATGGGACATCTCGAGTTAGCCTGGACGTCCAGCTAAATGTTCCATAAATTTGGCGCTTCAATTTTAAACGGTTCATGAGATTCAAATGTTTTTGTAAACTACTGAGGCGGTAATTATTTTCAAACAATCGACATATCTAAAAAAATAAGCTGACATGAATCAGCATGGGTGTACGCCCAAGTCTGATGAGGTTATATCACATTGCTTGAGTCCATAGACGGCGGATTGTTGAAATGAATGAGATTATTTCTTCAACTCCTATTGAATAATTTTCCGTATGTTGATGTAAAATTAGAGTGTATAAAAATATGTTTTGGTGTGTAATAAAATATTCTTACTGACCACGAATATTAATAATAATGAAGTTTAAGGTGAATCATATAGTTTTAATTAATGATTCTGAATGAACGTGATGTAACTTACCTGACTGCAAACAGAGCAATCGAAAAACTGAATCACCAGACAAACTCCATATGACTTAAATTAATCAAATAAAATACCATGAATCTATTAGGAGAATCATACTCCATTGTGATGTCAGTACCAGTACGAACATGGCATTGATCCACTACTTTAAAATGAAATGTAAAGACAACTTATGTTATGAAAACAGTCAAACATATTCTCAGGTTTGCTTCAGCACTTAAACCTAAAAAAGAATACAACTTTGAACTATAGCAGAGATTCGCTTCAGGTAACGAGTTTCTTCAATTTGCAATTAGAGTTAGTCATTAAGCAGTCTCAGCTGTCAGCTTCATGCCCAAAAATTTGAATGGACGCTAGATAGCTCAAGCTACTGCACGTTTGTATAGCGCCAAGCTATTTTGAGTAGCTTGAAAACTAGTTTCGACTTTGAAAGCAGCAAAAGCTATCAGTAGCTCAATCGAACTACTCCAATGTAAAACATTCTATGGAAACAGGAAAGCTTTTATATTTATTTCACAAATTTGTCTTTCTTTGCTGAAAATACAGGGTGACACAGGAGACATGTACCTGCCTGTAGTTTTTTATTTTTTTATTTAAAGAGATACAAATTCGAAATTCACAAGGGTTATATTATCGATGATGGCGCATCTCTTGAACTCAATGACAATTTTCTGCAAACACCTGTGTGATTGGAACTAGACCCACCTTTTTTTTATAAATGGCACCCTGTATATTTTTATAGCCTATCTTATTCGCCTTACAATTTTCTATTCAACTGTGTATCACAATTCGATATTTGTTCGTTAATTGGCTGTTAAATCGCATTTTATTGAAATACATTGAAGTTATCTGTCGCTTGATAGGCTCAGAAATCCAAAGATCATTACTTAGACGATATTATCAGAATATTTTTCATACCCTTATGGGTCTCAGAAGATTGCCAATAATTTCATTGAGTTTGAAAATAACTCACGATAATGGAAAAATTAAGATAGAAACTCAGTTTTTTTTCATATGGCTACTCGTGAAAATGCAATTTGACAGCCGATCAATGAACGAACATCAAATTGTAATAAATAGTTGAATAGAGAATTTTAATGCGAATAAGATAGGTCACAGAAATATACAGGGTGCCATTTGAAAATAAAAAGTTGGGTCTACTTATGATCAAACAGGTGGTTGAAGAAAATTGTCATTGGGTTCAAGGGAAGCGCAATCATCGGTAATATAATCCTTGTGACTTTAAAATCTTCATCTCTTCAAATAAAAAAACTACAGGCTGTTACATGTCTCCTGGGTCATCCAATATACCGGGTGACCAGTTATATTCTGACCCATTTCAAATGCTTATATCTTTGAAACCATTCAAGTTATCGTTGTGCAGTTTGGACTAGATTATTTTGATATTTTTCAAGTTTTTTTTGGCAGGTTCACCTTCTCTCTTGAACTTCCGGTTCTACCGGAAACAAACTAGCCATTATTCAGGTATAGGGCAACTTTTTTATTTCATCGAAGCATCCTGTATGTTTTTGCACATTCAGAAAGACTGGTCTTTTCTCTTCCTAACAATGAATATCAACTTATGTTTTCTTAGAAAACTATCAGAGTTATAACTCTTTGAAGCATCTACTGCACATTAGGATGTTATCCTGAAATGCTGAATTACCGTATATTGAGTATAAATCTGATGCAGATTTATGATGAGTTCATTTGCTTTTTCAGTCAAAGTAAACATTTTTTCAACTCGAAGAAAGTACAAATGCTCGACAATCTTTATTTGACACATCTAATCTGGCATTTCATGTGTTGTGATCAGGATTTCCAAAGACGACTTTGGTTACATTGCAAAATCTCATTAAACCATTCCACATGCAGTAGTTACAGTTATAACTCTGATAGTTTTCTGAGAAAACATAACTTGTTATACATTGTTAGAAAGAGAAAAGACCAGTCTTTATGAATGTGCAAAAATATACAGGGTGATTCAATGAAATAAAAAAGTTGCCCTATACCTGAATAATGACTAGTTTGTTTCCGGTAGAACCGGATGTTCAAGAGAGAAGGTGAACCTGTCAAAAAGAACTTGAAAAATATCAAAATAGACTAGTCCAAACTGCACAACGATAACTTGAATGGTTTCAGAGATATAAGCATTTGAAATGGGTCAGAATATAACTGGTCACCCGGTACCATTTGCTTCGGTTTTCTAACTCGCTGAATTTGACACTAGTTTGAATTGATCATGATGTTTTTCCAAGAATGAGTTACTAACTAACTTGTGGCACATCATAGAATTGAAGAAAAATTGCTGAAATCAACGAAGCAAATAAAAATCATCTATTAAAAAAATTGTGTATGCTCTTTGACTAACATTGAATGAAATTGACATTAGTTATAGTAGTTTGTAGTGTTTTTCGCCCAATGAACTTGTGTTTTTATTCATTGAACGAAGACTTGCAGAATTACGGCTCGTGGCTTTTTTATAAGATGCTCATTCAAAATAATTATATCAATAAAATGCGAAAGTTTTCCTCGGCAAATAAACCATCTGCTAGTAGTTCGAGTTGAATCCGTACTATACCGAGCACAAGTACAAGTGAACGGAAATGCACTCTTACAATCTACAACTTAACTCTAAGTTAGAGAGCTGGGTTAGCTTTTTTGGGCTATCACAAGGGCTTTACGTTAGTGAGTTTTTCAGCTCTTTGGCTCTTTTACTTGTTTCCTTAAAACGTAATATATCCATGTTTGTGCTGTATTGTGCTACGCGTACACAAGACGATCAACCATTGTTTTTGTTTTTTTCTGTTTGAGTATTTTATGTTGGTAGGCCTTGCGGAGCTGCCGATATGTTCAGTAGGGGGTGAAACGGTTGTAACCACTGCGATAAACAGCGGCCTAGAAAAAAAAAAGGAAAAAATTAATATACCTCCGTGACGAAGCATGTAAAACAATTTCTTTTTTGTTCATCAAATAATGAATGATGAATGAACGACGCGGAGCGGAGTTCGGGCAAGTCGTCAAGGGCAGAAAAGATATTTTCCGCAAGAATTAGGTACAAAGTGTTTCTCATTTTCAACAATACAAAAATCGTGCGGATAATAATATCATATACAGGGTATTGCATTCCATCATGGCAAGGTAATATTCATGGGAATAGACAAATATTGAAAATATCAGAATATCGATTTGTTTATATACAGGGTGGGCCACCAGCAACGCCTCGGTCTCTAGAAGGCTAACCACTTATCTTCTTGGAATTCTTCCTCTCTAGGAAGTTGCATGTCAACATAGGCTACCATTTGAAATTATTTTGAAACATACAGAATGTCCCCAAAAATCACAAAACACTGAAGTTGAACTTTTTTCAATCGAACACCCTATATATTATTCTATTTTGAGATTCTCCCTGGTGATCTGATTTCAACAATCCATCATACTTGGGGTCTAGCAGTTATAATTACTGAGATATAGGGTGTGAGAAATCGAGATTTTCCAAGTTCAAGAATTTTTTGTGTCTAAACCATTCATAATTGGTCAAAACGGCTTACGTGTCCCTATCTCAACTTTTGATTAACTATCTACTAATATTTAATTGGGACATATACCGGGTGATCAAGATTCTGAATTCTGCACCACCCTGTATTTGTTTCAATTAAATGTCAGTAGATAGTTGATCAAAAGTTGAGATAGGGACATGTGAGCCGTTTTGACCAATTAAGAATGGTTAAGACACAAAAAATTCTTGAACTTGGAAAATCTCGATTTCTCACACCCTATATCTCAGTAATTATAACTGCTAGACCCCAAGTATGATAGATTGTTGAAATCAGCTCACCATGGAGAATCTCAAAATAAAATAATATATAGCGTGTTCGATTGAAAAAAGTTCAACTTCAGTGTTTTGTGATTTTTGGGGACATCCTGTATGTTTCAAAATAATTTCAAATGGTAGCCTATGTTGACATGCAACGTCCTAGAGAGGAAGAATTCCAAGAAGATAAGTGGTTAGCCTTCTAGAGACCGAGGCGTTACTGGTGGCCCACCCTGTATATTATTATACAGTGTTACACTTTTCGAGAAATCATAGCTTATAAATTCAAAATTGGATGTTACAACAATCGTTTCTTGAATTCTAACGAGCCAAAAAATGTTTTCATCACATTAGATCCCATTTCGTGTTCAGAATCGATGGATGTATTGCGATTTGCTTGATGCTCAACATTTTGATCTCAATCGATGCCTGTCATAGCTTTAATATTGCCTTGCTATCGCATATAAAGCAAGAAAACCTATTCTGTAAAGCCATCTTATATGTATTTGAACAAAGTAATACGCTTTTGCTCAACGACTTCACTGAAATAACATGAATGCCCATTACCTGACAACTCAAAAATATTATATTAGCCAAAATAATATTACACACGGGATGTGTGCTGTTCTGGTAGAGGTTATCTCGTTTGGCTTCAAGAGCTTATAACTTCTTTTAACGGGTATAATGGACCTTGGACCAAAGGACATTTCTTGTTCAGCATGATTTCATCTATCCAATCCTAGATTTTCACAAAATTTCACTGTAGACAAGATTTCAATGTAAATGGTGCGGTGTCCTTTGTTGTTTTCTAGTTTTTTGATATCAAGACACGTTGATCCGGACTCTTTTCCGGCGTAAAATACAAAATCAAGGTCATCACTCTCCGAGCAAAAATATAAATGTACTTCACAAGTTTTCTGTCCCTGAGAGGCATAATGGATTCTAGAATATATTTGCCTAGGAATGTCTCAACATATTGTGAAAAAACAAATCATGATTTATAGATGTGTATTTCTAGATGAACTGTGACAGCTATCAACAACTATGTAATTTTTTTTTGAATTTAATCGGCCGTTACTTGATGGCAAATGTAAAAACTCCACAATCGATAAGATTTCCACAAAATTCACTGTGAAGTTTTTACATTCAACTAATCAGCTCACTGAGTTGTGACGTGAGGAAATTTTGACCGTTTGAATAATCTATCACAATCCATTGGACATTGATCAATCCGCTAGTAATAGGATGACTCAGTTTATAGTTCATATGTTTTTTTCTGATTCAATAAGGGGCCCCCAAAATGGAGACAAATTTTTTTCGATTTTCGGCGGGTAAACACTAGTGAACATTTTGTTCCTTCAATACTTTTTATGGAAAAGTTAAGTTCGTTGTTTGATCCTTAGTACTTTGTTGCAAAACATGATTATATTGTTTTTAAAAATTGAAAAATAATTCAATTATATTTGTTCACTCCAATCTGAAAATAAACATTTGTCAAAATGGCCGTGATAAGCAGTTGTTGTTGCCATTTACTAATCATCTTGATAGAGTATCCCGATGGCTGAGTGGGGCAATACTTATCCGTAGCCTCAAAGGGTGGTTGTTCCTTTCCGCGTTTTCATTAAAAAGAACTATAGAAAAAACCAATCTACTGGGGTATTTTGATTTTAAAACGACATTCTTGAAGATGAAAGTTTAATAATTAATTTCCAAACATTGAAGTTGCACTGAGAAAAATAGGCTTCGAACTTCGATGGGACAAAACCTTCTTTCAGATAATTTATGCTTCCGTCAATATTTCTACTGGGTGTTTCTTGAGTACGCGTAAATATTAAAGGAGCATGTTGCTGACGTCAAAATGAGAGAAAAAGTTCGTATAAACATATATCCTCAAGTTATTCATTTCTGAGATACAAAGTATCAAAGTTTGATTTTGTTCTTGTTTTTGTGAGTAAATTCAGTAATAAACGTGATATTAAAGTGAAATTTGTTATCTCACCCGAATATCACGATTATTTTGGAATTGATTCAAAAAACCGAAATAACAATCAAAATATGACACTCTGTTATGGTTATATGGCATTATTGAGAGGAGACTGCGCCTCCACCACGGGTCGCAACTCAGCTGTTGACCCTCCTATAGGTCGTGACTTAGCTACTCGCTTGGCTTTTTGACGAGAGGTTTTGATCATTTCACCACCCAACCATATTCATCCCCAAATAAAGAGAACTGTTTTTCAAAAGTACAACAAGCGATTTCACACCCCCAAAAGTGGCATAGTGCCACTTTGGAAGTCAGCAATCAATGAATGAGTGTTATGTACTATTGAACTAATAATGCCATGTGTTGATGATGAATTCCGATAGAACTAATAGTGACCGAACTAATAATGACCATCCTTATCGATTCGGGTTCTATTTATATTTGGAATCGATGCTAGGTTCGCAATTTTCCGCAATGGGAACGATCGTTATCTTTCGATACTGCTTACCTAGGTATTATCGCGCGGTAAGCGTTTGCTATGCGAATTATAAAGAAAATGACGTCTATAAACTCCGCTGATCTAATCGAAACTACAATGTACTGAATGTTTCAATTTGGAAAAGTTAATTTATAGTAAAAGGTCTTGAAATGAACGGGAGTTTGAGTAGCATTTATACTTTTTTTTTATCTCTTGAAGCGCACGAAAGGGAATCCCTATAATGTTCAAAGAACATCGTGCGTTCCTAGGGAGGATAGGGATAGGAGGTAGGTATTGGATTTTTTTTGAACTTCTGGAGATTATATGTTGTTGGGAATACTTCCACAGGCAATGAATTCCAGAGCCTAGCCGTTCTATGAATGAAGGAGTTTAGATAAAGTGCTGTTCGACATCTTTCGAGGTTGACAACGAAAAGATGTGCTGACTGGGCTTGTCTAGTTCGTCTGACTGGTATTGCTAGTGGAGGGATGATAGCAGAGATTTCCGAAGAACAATTCCCGTGGAAGTATCGATAGAAAAGTGAAAGGTCGCCGACCTTTCTACGGTGTTCCAATGATGTCAAAGAGTGAGTGAGTGTGGCGTCACCCACCAGGCGGAAGGCTCTTCTCTGGATGGAATCTAAGAGCATCAGCGTATGTTTTGGTGCTGAACCCCATATGTGGGAACATTATTCTAGAACAGGACGTATCTGCGCCTTGTAGATCATGAGGAGCTGTTGAGGTGTAAAGTAGCTTTTCGCACGGAACAAGAATCCGAGTTTTTGTGAAGCAGCTTTTGCGATGGATCTCACATGATTATCCCATGAAAGAGTGTTGCTGATGGAAATACCGAGCATAGATATGGTAGACTTGGTGGGGATGGTGGTGCCAGACATTACAATGTCGGGCATACTGAGTTCCGCCTTTCTAGAGAAAATACAGGCTTGAGTTTTGGTGGCGTTGAATTCAACTAGGTTGTTGGTTCCCCAGGCTGTGATTTCAGCAAGGTCTTCATTGACAGCATTGACCTGCCTGCGCCGTGAGTTCTTAGTTTCCTGGGAAGAAATGGGAATTCTGAAAGAGAACGCAGTATGGAGGGTACTATCATCTGCAAAGCTGTGGATGGGGCAAGTTGTTACTCCCAACAGATCATTGATATGAAGAAGGAATAATGTTGGTGCCAAAATTGATCCTTGTGGAACGCCGGAATTGATGCCAATGGTATCAGACGATACACCGTCCACCACCACATGAAGCGATCTGCCTGAAAGAAAACTCGATAAGAGATGGCATAGCTGAGGTGGTAAGCCGTATGATGGTAGTTTGTGGAGGAGTCCTTCGTGCCAAACACGGTCAAATACTTTCGATATGTCCAACGCGACAGCTAGAGATTCCCCGTGTTTTTCTAATGAAGCTTGCCATAAATGGGTGACGTATTGTCTATCATCGATGATTCCCGAGCTCTCCAGATATTTGATAAGCTCAATATTGATGGCTTTCTCCATCACTTTGGAGATTACTGATAACAGGGCAATGGGCCTGTAGTTGTTGGGCAGGTTCTTGTTCCCTTTTTTGGGGATTGGTTGGACTCTAGCTGTCTTCCAGCATGATGGAAAAATACCCGACCTGTACGAGATGGTAAACAACTTGCAGAGAATCGGTGTTAATTCTGGTGCACATTTTTTGAGGATAATGGGTGGAATTCCATCAGGACCGTTAGCCTTATTCGTTTTGAGATCAAGCGAAATTCGTCTGATAGTGCGTTGACGGAAGACGATTTCGGGCATTCGACTCTCAACGGGTGGAATGTCTGGCGGCACTTTTCCTTGGGAATCTGAAGTAGAGTTTGCTGCGAAAATCTCTGCAAAAATATTTGCTTTCTCCTGCGATGTTGTTGCTAATGTGCCGTCCGATTTGGACAGTGGTGGAAATGAACTATTAGTGAAATTTCTTTCGACCGCTTTCGCAAGGGACCAAAACGAACGGGAGCCATTGTGGCAATCTATGAGTTTCGATCTTATCTTGGCATTGTATGTTTCTTTCGAAGCATCTATTGTTTGGCTGCAGTTATTTTTTGGCTGCAGTTATTTGTTCTTGACAATATGACGATACTCACCCCGTAGCCGGCCATGGGCCCTATCCCGTGCCCCAAGTACGGATCGGCGTACTCTCTGCCGTACCCGGCCATCGCGTACCCCGCCACCGTCGGCTGGGGCTGCGGCTGTTGCTGCTGCTGCGCCGCCGCCGCCGCGTTGTAGCGCGCCGCTACAGCCGTGTAGGTGGCGGCGGCCGCGTAGCTCGCCTGCTGCGCCTGCGACAGCGGCGTCTTGAGGAGGGGGGTGCTGGCTGCAGCTGCTGCCGCCGCCGCCGCCTAAGAATGAGAATATTGTGATTGTAGTCCAGTAACTTTGTCGCCTGAACATATGGGGGTAGTATGCGTCAAATCGTTACCACCGATAAAACAAGGCCTGCATGCTCCGTGGGTGACGTCACTTAGTCAGGCCTAACCAGCGGCTCGAAACGACAAGCGCTTATAGCGCTATAAGGCGACCGCGTATTTCGATTTTAGTTTTAGATCATTATTGAGCCGATTTTGCTTTTTTTTTGAAGGGCTTCCGGTTGAAAGAGGATGCCAGCCGTCAACTGAGCCCTTCTTCGCATCCCATTCAATTTTATTATAGAAAAACGAAGTTTCAAAGCAAAAACCAGAATAAAACACAAATACCTACCTACAGCAACCCATTCGAATTAAATATATTGGCAAAAATTGTAGTGATTCAATCTCATTAGAGGTAAACTTCACACCTACTTATACAGGGCCCGCAGAACATAAACTTATCATGAGATTGATCGAAAGAAAATTGGGGAAAATGTATTTTAGTTTGATAGACATGCCGTTTGTTAGGAGAATTCCTATTACCTAAAAAATTAGCCAGTGAGTGTTTTCAATTTCCTGTTGTTGGATTTTTTACCCAATTGGTCGTTAGACTTGAAACAGTAATTTTCAAGTAGAGTGTTTGTAGTACATGTTAATATAATAGTTGCAATTTGATCATTGGAATGAATTCTGCATTCATTGCCACGAGGCAAATGACCGTTTTCAGAAAGAAATTTGAGAATGTAGTGAGTCAGAAACCAAAGAGTCCAATGCATTCGAAATATGTTTCAAAACCCTCTTTTTCTGATTATCAAGACATTTTCCCGAATTATGTATCTCGTTTTTATCTATTTCAATTAGTAATTCCTTGATTTGATTGATATTATTAGAGATAAAAGGTGTTTTCAGATTGGCTTTTAGAGATGTTTGTATCGCTAGGTCATACAAAAATGATTCCACATTCAAACCAAAATCAATCACAACCGAATATGTAATTACGGGCCCTGGAGAATAAGACAATTTGAATAATGTGACTTTTTGCAAATCGATAATTTTGAACCACTTTTCGGGCAACTGAAAATACTCTAATACAACTAGAAATTCTTGAAATTCTGTGTAGCAAAATGATTTTTGGTAATTTTCGAATTCAGTTTTACTTTTGGTAAGTGCTTGTGCCAAATTTTTAGTCTCTAGTATCTCAAGTTTTTCATCACGACTTGTGCGTAATTTTACATCTTTCGATAAATAAGATGGACAGTTGGGAAATTGAGTGGGAATAACATCTCGTTTGAACCTTGGAATTTTCAAATCTATTGTTACAGTTTTGCCAGTTTTTGAATCGGTTGCAGTAGATGAAGTAATAATATCATCTTTAGTAAAATGTAATTCACATACTTTACTGTACTTAGATGGAGTCGTAAAATCCTTGCGGTGAATTGCATGTACCCACTTTTTCGATAGTTCCTTGTCCAACGGGAAACTAAAAGCATGAACTTTTGGACCACCCACATAATTCCCCCGACAAAAGGGAACACAACACTTGTGAGGCATTGTTATTTCGCCTATCACAACACGAAATATTTCACAAAACAGTAATTTCTCCGCCAATTATTTTGATGAATAAACAACAAGAGAATTCGAGCACACGGCACACGCGATTTACCTACGCCACCGTTCTTAAACAAAAACAAACTGACGATCGATCGACGCGAATGCCTTGGAAGATGGCCTGAGTATGCGACGTCACGAGCTGTTTACGTCAGAGTCTGCTGGCCTTGCTTTATCGGTGGTAACGGTCAAATCCGGTAGTTCTGATTTTTTGCAGACTTGATCATGATGTTGGCCTAATGAATGATCCAAGTTTGTGACCTCGAGCACCGAAAGCAACTTTGTCAAAAATCGAAAAAAACCGCGGAAAAATCGTAATTTTTTCAAATTTTGGCGATTATAACCCTGATGGACTAGTTTTTGAGAAAAAATCTCACAGGAAGTTTTTAAAGCAGATCAAATTTGCTACTATATGATATAAAAACTGTCTCTGTAGACCCAATAGTTTTCGATATAAAGCCTTCCAAAGTTTATAATTTTCTTCGAACTTCGCAAACTTTTTCAATGTTTTAGGCGTCACTCGAATATACTCTAGCGGAATGAAGTTTCAATTACCTCCGACGGAGTGTGCTAGTACTGTTCGTGTGAAGTCACGAATGCGACCAACGTTTTCAAACTTTTTAGGCAATCTAAACCAATCTGGCCAGGTTACCTCCTACACGAGACTCTGCTCGATTTCACTCCTTGCAGACATACTATCAGGTGAAAATTCGTCCTTGCATCAGTAATTCACATCAAATATTATCTTTCATCATTTTCTATCCTCATGTACAATCTCCTAACAAGTACAGTTGTGGTTGGGAGTCACACTGAACCCTCTCTCCTGGGGGTGGATATCCACGCCACGAGGCCTCAATCCCAAAATGATGACCAGAGATGCAGCCCCACAACACTTCTTGCGGATGATTTCTTGCGGCTGCACGAAGGGTTGTGGTAACGCGTGCAGCTGCAGGAAGTCAGGATTTAAATGCTCATCAGTCTGCAGGCACTGCAGTGGGGCCTCTTGTGACAATGTACCTGATGTTGTAGTAGTTGATATCCCAGAAGGCGACGATCTGTCCGATGTTGAAATGGAAGATGACTTGTGGGCAAAAGACGTCGACGATTCATCATCATCCCCTAATGGGGATATGCCATCCCAATACGTCGATCCAGATCCAGACGAACCTCAACCGGGACCTTCCAGGAGGGCTTAATCAATCAAATTTTTTGATCTTTAATATTACTCTATTTCCTAACAAATAAACTCATTAACTTTTGTTGTACTTATCTTTTTTATTTCATTATTCATAGCTCAGCTTAAACGTCCTCGTAAACACTCCTCAATTTCTTTTATATCATCTTATCATGAAAGTACAGGGCTTCGATTGTACAATCAGGGTCAAAATTCAATCAGAACGACAGGATTGCAATAAATTGCGAAGTTCGAAAAAAATTATAAACTTTGAAAGGCTCAATCTCAGAAACTAATGAGTCTACAGAGACAGTTTTTATATCATATTGTATCAAATTTGGTCTACTTCAAAAACGTTCTGGGAGAGTTTTTTCAAAAACTAGTCTTTTAGGGTTATAATCGCCAAAAACTGAAAAAAAAATTATTTTTTCGCAGTTTTTTCGATTTTTGACAAAGTTGCGTTCGGCGCTCAAGGTCACAAACTTGGATTATTCATTAGGTCAACATCATGAATAAGTCTGCAAAAAATCAGAACCACCGGATTTGACGCATACTGTGATGTATAAAGTTACTGGATTATTGATGTGATTGTATAAACCGTCGGCTTACTGTCAAAACCTCATAAGTCTTTCAGAGCTAATTGTTCAGGAGGGGAAAAAGAGTTTTCCACAAGATACTTTGAACGATTCAACGATTTTTGCAATTTTCAGGCATTTTTGCAATTTTTGCAATTTTTGCAATTTTTGCAATTTTCAGGAATTTTTGCGATTTTTGCAATTTTCAGGAATTTGCAATTTTCAGGATTTTTTGCGATTTTTGCAATTTTTACAATTTTCAGGAATATTTGCGATTTTTGCAATTTTCAGGAATGTTTGCAATTTTCAGAAATTTTTCTAATTTTCAGGAATTTTTGCAATTTTCGCTATTTCTGCAATTTTCAGGAATTTTTGCAATTTTTGCAATTTTCAGGAATTTTTGGAATTTTCAGGAATTTTTGGAATTTTCAGGCATTTTTGCGATTTTATGGAATAGTTCCATTATCCTTATTGATTACTCTATTACTATTCTTAAATATCTCTAAGCTTTCATATGCGTCTAATTTTCTAATATTATGAACTTGCTTAACTAATTTGAGGTTAGTAATATGTGTGTTATGATTGTGATTGAACATATTTTCGGCTACACACGATTCATATTTCAAATGTGCTGTGTTCTTTGAACCTTGTTTTATGGGTCGCCTGATATGGCCTATATATGTTTGATCACAATCATTACAACTTATTTCGTATATTCCCGACTTTTCAAGTGTGTCCACGTTATCTTTCGGATTACTATTTTGATATCATAGCCATTGACGCCAGCCACTTTATAAACAACACTTCTTTCAGCATTGACTCTTTCTTTGTTTAGAGGGAATGAAATTAATCTATGCACTAGAAAATTTAAAGACGCAGGGTATAACATGAAGTTGTAGTCATGTTGTAGCCATCTTGTGGCAAAGCTCTGAGGTAGGATACAGAGATATCGCGACATACACTGTATGGCGCTGCCATCTATAGTCACACGTACAGACCCCTACGTCTATACGCTACAGAGTGGTACTACAAGTAAATCACTCTGCTGACAGATGGCACTACCTGGACATACCTGAGTGGAATTTTTCCACCACCTATTCAACTGCTAAATCTCATAACTAAGAGATCTAGGATGAACAGAGTTGCCCCAATTGTCAGCAGGAGCGAGACAGTACTGTTTCGACCCACCAGGTCTCATCAGCCGCTCTCGGTCTGCTGACAACTGGGACAACTCTACGCTTCGGGTATATCACCCATTTCGAAGACGCAGGGTATAACATGAAGTTGTAGTCATGTTGTAGCCATCTTGTGGCAAAGCTCTGAGGTAGGATACAGAGATATCGCGACATACACTGTATGGCGCTGCCATCTATAGTCACACGTACAGACCCCTACGTCTATACGTTACAGAGCGGCTGATGAGACCTGGTGGGTCGAAACAGTACTGTCTCGCTCCTGTTGACAATTGGGGCAACTCTGTTCATCCTAGATCTCTTAGTTATGAGATCTAGCAGATGAATAGGTGGTGGAAAAATTCCACTCAAGTATGTCAGGTAGTGCCATCTGTCAGCAGAGTGGTTTACTTGTAGTACCACTCTGTAACGTATAGACGTAGGGGTCTGTACGTGTGACTATAGATGACAGCGCCATACAGTGTGTGTCGCGATTCCTGTAGAGCTTCATTGCCACTAGATGGCTATAACATGACTATAACTTCATGTTATACCCTGCGCCATTAGTTTCATTTCTAAAAACATCAAATTTCAAGTTGTTTACGCTATAGGCGATTCATGCTAAGGAGTACTCCCCCTACCGTTGTCTAATATAACTAACGTATGGGCCATTGATTGCTTTGTTTACATTAGTTTGCGTGTATTTTGTATGAGAAGTAGTTGTGTCTTCTTCTTCTTCTTCTTCTCTGCACAGGTGGGCGGGTGCGTAGACCCCTGCACTCAGGCCTCTTCAGTCGGGCCCATTGTGCGCCCACTTGTCCTGTGAATCAGCTGGGCATGCCGATTTCTTTGACGAAATTCAGCAGCTTCCTCAGCTGAGTCACTTTCACATCCTTTGGGTGCAGTACAATGCTCCCAAAGGCAGCTTTCCTCTGATGCACCAGCGCGGGGCATTCAGTGAGTATGTGTGATGATGTTTCATCATCCTCCAAGCACCATCTGCAGATGGGATCATCTTTGATCCCTATGAGTTCTAGGTGCCTGTTGAGGTGGTTGTGCCCAGTTAAGAGCCCAACTACTATCTTGAGATCCCTTCTATTAAGTGACAGGATCTCTCTCGTGAGCCTTTTTGAAGGTTCCTTTATATGGAGCTTTGATTGTCTCATTCCTGGTGTGTCCCACCATGTTTCAAGGAACTGCCTCTGTAGCATTTCCTTCATGAAGGACATAGCCGTACTATTGGGTATTCCCAATATCGGTTCTGGTCCAATGGGTGTCGTTCCTGAACCGATCTTGGCTAATCTGTCTGCCTCCTCGTTCCCCGGGATACCAGAGTGTCCTGGAACCCACATGAGGCTGACTTTCCTAGTTTTTGCCATATTTTCTAAGGCACTTCTACACTCGGACACCAATTTAGTTGTGATCCTATAGTAGTTGTGTTTTAATTGTCTATAATTTTGTTTGAGAACTTCTATAAACGTTTAAAAACATGAGTCATCATTGTTGTGTAACTCATTGTTCATCTTGAGCAAAAAAATCCCGAGTATAGCTTTCATTCTTTTATTCAAAAATCAGGACAGTCCAAATTTGTATTTGAAACTAATAATTTGGGAAACAAGGAAGTGATCGGTAGGAGAAAGGTGTGGATTCATAACTTATGATTGGAAAAAGTTTTAAGTGTCTGAACATAATGAGATATTGTTCTTTACTCTTCACTGAAAATTTACTCATACCTATAGGTATATTTTCAAATGTATGTCTATTATGAATATAATACCTACTTCTTGAGGTGGTGGTAAAAAAACAAACAAATTTCAAACTGATTATATCTTTACTCATGAACAGTAGAATTTTTAAACAGTAAAGAATGTTATCAATCAGGGTTTCGATGATTATGTTGTAAAATGTCATGTAGAAACTGTTTACCTAAATTCACCTTCCAAAGAACACTTTATTCCCAAACAGTTTGCTGGATTTTGTTTTAAAAATATCATGCACTATCAGGGGAATATCCCAGCTATATATTCGAATTGGAAATCAACATTCCAGACAGGTTTTCATGAGAATTCTTGTTCAATAATGATAAAAACTTACAGCCTATGCATGTTGGTATATATGAAGTTCAACTAGAGGTAGGGAGGTTATCTAATGTTGAACAGAGATAATATAGTCCTCAATCAAAACACAGTAGACCGCTGGAAAATACAAAGTTCGAAAATAGACAAATAACAAAGCTGGACGTTTGAAAACTCAAAACGAAATGAACATAAACACCATTACCAAACAATGTAAACAATCCGCCAATGGCCCATAGAGTAGTACCGACATTCGCCGTTCTGGCGCTACGATCTTAATCTCAGTCGCCTATATATGATATCTTCGATCATACAGTCCGACTCACCTGCAACCTCGACGTATAGTTGGGATCGGCGTGCGCAGCCAGAAACGGATCGTAATAGACGCCGCCGTCCACCGGCAGCGCGTTTATGACCTGCGCATAAGGAAGCGCGCCCGCCATCGGCGTCGGATGCCGAGCGAAGGCCGCCGCCGCCGCTGCCGCCGCCGCAGCCGCCGGGTACGCCGCGCGCGCCCTGCCCCTCTGCAGGGCCGCCACGCTCGCCCTCAAGGTGGCGTCCGACCACTGGATGATCGGAACTGGAGAATAGATATACAGGGTGAGTCGAAAATGTGTACCAAAGAGAAGGTGGTAGTACAGTGTTTGGAGTTTTCGATGCTTTTGCGTGATATTTCAGTTATCTTTGGAAATTTGATTGATATTTGATTGTCTTTATCACCCCAAGAAACATTTCTGTTTGAAATATGGATACATGAATACATAATGGTATACATTGTGTCTGTAAAAGGTTGGGACATAGCTCGGCTGTGGACTCCTGGGATAAAAACAAATTGATTTAGGCCAACTCACCTAAATCCAAAATCGTCTCGTTGAGTTGGTACAAGGCATTGAAGTTTTTTTGGAAAAAAAATTCTGCTAATAAAATGAGAAGGGTGAGATCGATTTTTATAATTTTTGGCATGGCATGTTCTGTGACTGTGAGTCATGTTTTGAGATGGTTTCGATCCAGAAATGTTTTCTCTTCAGAAGTATTTTTTGTTTCGTGTTAATTTTTGATAAGTCTCGTAGTTCATTTGCGAATGAATAATATCTGAGGCATCTTATGCATTTTGAAAAAGAAAAAATCTGGTTGGGACATGGCTTGACTGTAGACTCCTGAGATACAAACAAGTTGATTTTGGCCACCCTACCTATATCCAAAATAGTTTCTTTGAGTTGGTACAAGGCGATAAAGTGCTCACCTCAGGTACTGAATAGTTATTGCAAAATTTGTAACCCGAGAGTTCTTGTGAAGGCCAGGAGGACCAACAACATATCAGTTAGTTCACAATAAGAATACAGTGTAGCCATGATCAATAAACAGTCCGACTAATTAGATTAATTTTCAAAAATGCGCAGGATCAGATCAGAAATCATTTATTTGCAAATGAACCTCGAGACTTATCAAAAATTAACACGATACAAAAAATATTTCTGGAGCAAATATCATTCTGGAAAAAAAACTGAAAGTTTCTAGTCTGACCTCTGGAAAGTTATCAATGAAAATTGTACGGCAACATGGTTGTTTGAAACACTTGCAGGTCACTGATGATGATCAAAAACATCTTGAAACGTGACTTACAGTCACAGAACATGCCATGTCAAAAATTATGAAAATCGATCTCAGCCTACTCTTTTTATGAGCAAAATTATATTTTTCCAAAAAAACTTCAACGCTTTGTACCAACTCAACGAGACGATTTTGGATATAGGTAAGTTGGCCTAAATCAACTTGTTTTTATCCCAGGAGTCCACAGTCGAGCCATGTCCCAACCTTTTACAGACACCCTGTATTATTCAACAAGCATACAGGGTGTATCTAAATAACACCGAAAAATTCAAGAGGTGTTTCCTTGTGATATTTTAGCGAATAAAGTTTATATAAACATGTTTCCTAACTTGCTTCGTTTTTGAGATACAAGATGTTGAAGTTGGAAGTATTAATTGTTTTTATTTATAACCTTCCTGTATAAGCTTTCATGGTGCCAAAATTCAGTATGAATGGAGACTGAGAAAGCCTCAAAATTTCAGAATGATTCTATTTGGGGTTATTGAGTAATCTCAATGGAAATCTTAAAAACACCTACATTAAAATTTGAAGTCAAATCGAATTTTCATTGTTTCCTCAAAAACTGAGCTACCTTTATTTCTCTTCTCCAAACATTTTTCAATACAAACTGTCACTGACAAGCTAGTGAATTTTTCTTTTAGGCTCTCTGATAGGAAAATTCTTTAAGCGCAGTGACATCTTGGGGCAAATCATCTGATTTGTCCTTACTACAGGTATATTGAAAAATATTCATATTTTTATTATATAGAAACGAGGAGAGGATATCCCAAAAAATCTGGAATAATGAATCCCATCATTCATTCAACAAAAAAAATTGAAAAAAAATCCTTCCAAATGGGACGCCTTTGAAAAAAAAAATGTATCTGCTTTGATTATCATCCTGTAGAATCTCTTCTGAAGAGATGCAATAATTATTGCCAATGAAACGAACATTCAGAAACTGCAGAGAAATTGAAAATCGGGGTTTTGTTGAGCAGTTATATGGCGTCTATGATGATTATCATGTATCAGCGAAAAAAAATCATATTAAATTTAATATCAAGTACTAACCTGCAGGTATTGTTGGCGGTTTTTTAGTTTGTACTCTTGCTGTGGCATTATTTACCTACATAATCAGAACAAACAACAAATTAACAAATAATTCTCTAAGCATCTAATGAAACCATTCGTTTTTTTCATCAATTTCCCCAAAAACAAATAATTCCACTAGATCAAAGTAGATGTGGCAACATCCTTAACCTTCTGATCCTTATTTTCTAAATAGGAGATTTTCATCGAAACCAATTCCATATGATACAATCGAAGTGTGAATAAACTTTGAAATGTTAATGGGGAATTTATCTGGAATAAAGCCAGCTGGCACAATCAGATCAAGGCCTATCAATAAGTACACCAATTAAATCCAGACAAATAGCAAATACCCTTTTATCGAACTGTGATTTTATTACTAGTCTATCAGTGAATTCTAGATTTTGAATAATATGAAATTGGCTCACAAATGTTCCTCCTGATTTAGAAATGTGTCCTAAAATATTTTTTAATTCTGTTTGATGGGTATCAAGATTTAAAATTAGTTTATTTTTTCATCATTGTATTACTGTTAGTTTAGATTTAAAACGAAGTCTGAAGGAAGTTTTTAAATATAATTAGATGAAAAAAAAAAATGTTTTAGAACTAAGGTGAAGAAAGGTCCTGTTCAAATGAATGACACAGAAATTGGCATCAACAATTGAAGCCATATTCTATTCGTTCATATAAAATTATATAATATATCATAGTAAACTGTGATAACCCAAGAATGTTTTCGATGACTTAGTTGAAATCTATTCAAAATCAAATTAGAATTCTTGGAATCAGGTATGATATAATATATTCATGAAGGTATGGCATAGATGTTTCACAATTTTAAAAAATCTGGAAAACTCCGCGTAGCAGTCAAAGCACTAGTGAATTCGAATTTATCATTAAACACATCAAATATTCAAATATTCACAAATTATATTAAGTAACATGATGAATGTGAAACACCTACTATTGCAAATACAATGATCATATATTTGATTGATATTGCTTGAATAATGGATAATCATTTCTAGAATTTGAGCAATATCCTGATATAATACTTGAATTACGTACAAAATAGTGGTACATGGATTTTGTTGGTATGTGCTGTGTACTGAAATCTAAATGGTGTGTTCTGTGCAGGCATTGTTACTAACTCCATAGGCTTTCTTAGATGCCGCACTGTAGCAGAGAACATTCATCCCCCTAGAATCTCATGTTTCATTATACCGGGTAGAGCATTAGTGTCTCGGAGTTCCATTGTTCAAGTTCTATGATAGCTAGAAACTTGATTCAAAATCGAATGTGAATGAGGAAAAGTTCCATTGACTAGAAATTATTGCTGCGTATACAGCGAGCACCGAAAAAAATCTAGAGGGTCAGGATTACTTTTTTAAAATGGAATGCCCTGCACCTTTTTTAAAGCATCCCTGTGACCTCCATCCACTCATAGTTCAACATCAGATGTACCAAATGTCATGATTTTTAAATAAATCGTTTCGAATATTGTGAGGAAAAATCCTTCCAGGTAATTTCACCAATGTTTAGGAAACACCCATTATACCGGGTGTCCCAGTAAACCTGTTCCAATAAATTATCTCAGCCATTTCGAAAATTTCATGATCTCCAATTTGTTCAAGGAAGCTTCAACTGAGGAAAATGAAAATTTCATGATCTTCAATTTGTTCAAGGAAGCTTCAAATGAGAAAAACAAAAATTGAAAGTCTTTTCCGGTTTGACCGGAAGCGACTTTAACTTTTTTATTTCAAATAGCACCCTGTATATTTTTTGCAATTTTTGATTTCTACCCAAAATTACCGTTCCAACGCACACTTCGTATTTTAAATTTGATTTGATGGCGAAAACGACAATTGAAATTTCATATTGAACGAATTGCAGTAGGCTACGATATTTTTGTAATCTTGATTTCGACTTCAATGATAATTTCAAATTATTAGAAAAATTGTAGTAGATCATGTAATTTTCAAATTTTCACCTTCAGAAATAGCTGAGATAATCTATTGGAACAGGTATACTGGGACACCCGGTATATTCATATAAATATTGGGATTCTGAAGCCCGTGACCCCTCTGACGAGAGGACTGCAACTGTCCCTGTCTTCAGGAGAAGATTTCGTGTTGCCAATTTTTAAAAAGGCGTCTATTTAGTGAGTATTTTCTCTGCCTAAACTAACATTCCTAGGTAATCTCTTGGGTATTAAAACCCAACAAAATTATGAGAACACCAGATATTTTTCAAGAAAGCACATACCTACTGTTCCATATGACAGATATCAATGGAATGACAAGTGAGATACAGAAAATTTCTAGCAGCGGTTTTTTCCATCGGACATGAACTGGTGGAGGATTTATGCACTTAGTGTATATCTATCCTTCTTTTTGACGTGTAGTAGAAAGAGAAATGTTTACACTGAGTGCGCATTAGTTTCACAAATGGAATCCGCTATAAAATTTCTAAAACTGACAGATACAAAGAATGCACCTATCGCCTATGATTGATTCTATGAAAACTTATGGAAAGAACTTACAGATTGAACACAAACACTATATCGGGTGGTCACATAAAAACCGGAAGTTTATATTTTCCTCGTGGTTTCATCATTTCTCAACCGAATTCGAATTTCTTGGCGTCGTTTCATAGCTAAAGGGCTATTGTATACAGTGGAATATTTGAGAATTTCATAATGAACAAAAACAAAATGGCGCATTCTACCAAAGTATTGTCATTTACAAAAACCGCTGGAGAAAAAGAAAATCAGATTTTTCCCAACCTGTACCGATGTCATCTTAGGCTATTCATTTCTGAAGAGAATGAGTACCCGAACATCGAAATCGAACAAATAGTCCAGTAGATACACTCATTTCTTTGCAATTTGTTATGGAGTGAATGTGCTAATCTCGTATAAACGATTATTATTATTTTGCTTCAGGCTTCATGAAAATTCAATCGAATTTGGATTTCTTAAAGTTATTTCAGAGATAGAGATAAAGAACTGTAGTACACAATGGAACATTTTAAAATCCAATAATTATTGAAAGAAACAAAATGGTGGAGAATCCAGAATTTTTGGGATTTTCAAAAATCTCTGACGAATAAAAAAATGTTTATTCTTCCACTCAGGACCGATACAATTTTAGATTATTGATTTCTAAAAAGAAAGAGCACTCGAACATCTGTACTATAGCTATTCAGCTCCATAACACTTTGCCAAAAAGAACGTGTTTCTCCTGGACTAACTGTTCGAATCAGATATTCGAGTGCTCATTCTTTTTAGAAATCAATGATCTAAAATTGTATCGGTCCTGATTGGAAGAATAAACATTTTTTTTTATTCGCCAGAGATTTTTGAGAATCACAAAAATTCTGGATTTTCCACCATTTTGTTTCTTTCAATCATTGGATTTTCAAATGTTTCATTGTGTACTACTATTCTTCATCTCTGAAATAACTCTAAGAAATCCAAATTCGATTGAATTCTCATGAAGCCTGAAGCAAAATAATAATAATCGTTTATACGAGATTAGCACATTTACTCCATAACAAATTCCAAATAAATGAGTGTATCTACTGGACTATTTGTTCGATTTCGATGTTCGAGTACTCATTCTCTTCAGAAATGAATAGCCTAAGATGACATCGGTACAGGTTGGAAAAAATCTGATTTTCTTTTTCTCCAGCGGTTTTTGAAAATGACAATACTTTGGTAGAATCCGCCATTTTGTTTTTGTTCATTATGAAATTCTCAAATATTCCACTGTATACTATAGCCCTTTAGCTATGAAACGACGCCAAGAAATTCGAATTCGGTTGAGAAATGATGAAACCACGAGGAAAATAAAAACTTCAGGTTTTTTTGTGACCACCCGATATATCATATATTAGTCGTGCGATTCTTACCAAATTTGGACTGGTATCAAATAAATACCAATTTGATCAGTTTTTCGGAAACGAATATCATTATGGATAGTGTCGTGCGTTTATATTAAAATAAAAAGGAGTCGATTTATCATAAAATCATGAGATTTTTTTTTACACAAAAACTATCCTTACATTGTTCTTTATGGTTATAAACCCCCATAAGTGAATTATCATATAATTTCTATGAGAGGTTTCAGAACAACAGGCACATCTAATAAGCATTTTTCGAAAGTAAATAATGTTTTACTCGAAAACAGTGCGTTCAACAAAAATAAGTATGTACACTGCTGCCCAAATAAATTGTAACGACTAGTGTCATGATTAATTTCTTCGAGATATCCGCTTATGCCCACGGACTATTATATCTATCTTTATCACACAGCTCGACCGCGCAGTAGGTAGTTTTATATACCTAAATCCTCTTATTATCTTTCTTCGTGATATGGTGTGAAAAAGCAGGTAGAATGAGTAGTGATAGGTCATTCCATAATTTGGTTCAATTTAATTTATTTTAAAATATGTACATCTTGGTTTTTCCTTCAAATCATGATTTTCAACCTACTGGAGCTATTGAACGTGCCAAAGTTCGTATTTGATTTGAATTCACTATTTTTTCGAGGCAGGAAATAAAAAAAAAATTAAGCCAATTCTGTTAATTCGGAATGAAGTGATTTTTTGCATATGGAGGTTCGAAAGCACGAGGAAAAATAATATGGAAGTAGTTTCTTTGCAAAAAAAATCCTAATATGAAATTATATGGAGGAAATTATATGGAAAAAGCTCTCTTGCATGATTGCCACCAGCGAATGGGAGGAGGGATGGGGGAGAAATTCACACTTCGATCAAAATAGTCTAGTCTAGATCTAGTCATGTTATCGCCATCTAGTGGCGCCAAAAAACTAATACGAACGATTATTTCGACCAACGCAAAGGGCGAGTGGACTGATAATGAATTATTGGCATTCAATTACTCCACTGTGTCGTTAGGGACCTAAATCAATTTTTGCAATACTTCTCACGATTTTTTTATGTCAATAATGAGTCTATGCTTTTTGCGTATAATTTCTCGTGATTAAAAATGTTTCTAACAGTAGCGCGGATTTT